CTTGTTTCAGGAAGAGCCTGAGGCTCTGCAGCTCATCCCAGAGCCCCAGCCAGGACGCTCCTGACTGCAGACACGTGGCGCAGCAAAGGCAGTGCTTGCTGTGGGCTCTGTTGAGGAACGCCTGTCCCGTGGGGCAGCTCTGCCCCACTGAGGCCACTGCTGACACCCAAACCCGGAGGGAACGGTCCCTGCCCTGTAATTAAGCTCTCTCTTGCTCCTGTTTGCCCCACTAAGGAGCAGTCTCCTGGATGTGCTCCTTGCAGCTCCTCTATGGGATGGAGGTGTTTTCCCAGCCTTAAGCTGAAGGATTGAGGCTGCCTCTTGAAAGAGGAGCTGGTCTTCAGCTGCTGCCGGGCTCTTGGCATCAGTGGATGATAACACTTAAACAAGCAGCGCTGCAGCTGAATCACAGAATCAGCCAGGTTGGAAGAGCCCTTTAAGCTCACCCAGTCCAACCATTCCCAGCAGTGCCAAGGCCACCACTACCCCATGGCACTGTGGCCTCGTCTCCACGGTGTGTGAACACTTGCAGGGACAGTGACTGCAGCCCTGCCCTGGGCAGCCTGTTCCAATGCCTGAGCACCCTTTGGGGCAGGAATTGTTCCTCAGCTCCATCTAAACCTGCCCTGGTGCAGCTTGAGGCCGGTTCCTCTTGTCCCATCCCTTGTTCCTTGGGAGCAGAGCCCAGCCCCTCCTGGCTCCATCCTCCTCTCAGGCAGTTGTAGGGAGCCATCAGGTCCTCCCTGAGCCTCTCTTCTCCAGACTGAACCCCCCAGGTCCCTGACCCGTTCACATCAAATCCTCAGCAGTTTGGGGTTTCAGTCTCAGTGGAGATGGCAGTCCTGGGTGCCAGCATCACTGTGAGGCCACAGGCTTGTGCCCATCTTTCTGGTGTGGCTGTAAGGGAGCTGGCACCCTGCTGCACCACAAGCACTTGCCTGTGCACTCCTACCCAGTGATATCCCCCCCCCCGGACCGTCGGTGGGGCTGTGGTGTGGGCGGAGGTTGTGGCTGGGTTTCGGCCCCGACGCGTTGCTGCGGCTCAGAGCACCGCTGCTCTCTTGAATCACTCCATTTAGTTAATGATCCTTTTGTGGAGAGGATTAGGGTTTAGAGGCCCCTGGCAGAGCGTTAATTCAATTAAGCCCCTGGGTGTTCTGTGGAGGTTTCCACTAGAGGGCTCGGCCGGAGCCCGGTGCCGCTGGGGCCGTGTCCCTGCAGCGCTGGAGTTTGCACCGCAACTTATGTAAGGCTGGAGGAGCTGCCTCGCACCCTGCTCCCTGCCCCGGCGCTCCGCGGTGCCCATGCCCCGGCTGGGGCCGCAGCTCGGGCCGCCTGCGTTATCAGCAGTCGGTAACGTCAGGCGCGGGTGTTTTCCTTTCCTTCCTTGGTTTCCCTTCCTCCTGGCCCCGTCCGTGCTTGCGTTTCTCAGAAGAGGCTCGACGGGAACGCCTGGGTCCGCCTCCTGCGCTGGGGAGAGTCCGGAGCTGAAGTTTGCTTACAGCACCCCGGTACAGTGCAACTGTGAGCGATGGGCTTTGTGGCTTAAAGGGGTTTCCTGGAGGGGGTGTGGGGTTTTCCGTGTTTAACTGGCACTGGTCGTTAACCCGTGTCTCTTCTCCTTTCTTTTCTATCCCCGGGATGGATTCCGGTGCCTCGCCTGCGTGGTTTGCCCGGCTGCCTCATCTCTGGGTAAGTACCTGCTCCGTTAGCTCAACGGGAGGAAATAGCTGAACCGAATCACTTGCGCTTAACTAATGAACTGATCTATTTATTCTGTCTCAAACTCTGGAGCACTGATTGGTGTCAGGCAGCAGGATTTATCCTCTGTGTGTGTGTGAAGAGTTTGGATACTGAGAAGCCATTAATACAGCAGTTCCCAGGCTGAGTTTGTAACCTGAAGAAGCCCTAGCAGTAGTTTTTTGTGCCAGCTTGGGCTGCAGAGCACTGACCTGATGCTAAAAGCTCACTGTGTGCCTACAGGGGAGCAAGTGGAAGTGGGAATGGGTTTGGTAGTTCAAGGAGTGCTCCCTGTTCCTGCCCAGATGCCTCCTGACAGCAGCTGATGGTAAATCAGTGCTGTGGTTGTGTAAGGAGCCCTCTGCAGAGCCCTGGGCTGGATTCCACTTTGCAGATGTGCTGGGCTTTGCAGGGCACAGAGAGGAAGGAGCTTGAGGCTGTTCTGGCAGGAGAGGAGGGGACGTGCGTGTCAAGCTTGCAGAGGTAATGTCAGGCACTGATGTTCCCAGCTTGTGTTCACAGAGATCCTGCTCCACGTGGGGTGGAAATCATCCTGGTGGGGTGGATTCTTGTGGGTTGCCCTTGCCGAGGTTTGGTGCCTGCCCCTGAGCCCAGCTGCGAGGTGTGGTCTGTGTGTTAAAGCCTCTCAAAACACAGTGTGTGTGCTCAGGGTGGAGGAGAGCAGGGGTCTGCTTGGTAAAGCCGGTTCTCTGGGTGCAGCGGTGCCTTTGCACTGAACTTGCTATCGAAGTTCAGAAGTCCTGCTCAGCTTTCCCCTTTCCTGACCATCACCCTCCCCTAGTAATATCCTCTCCTCTCCCAGCAACAGAAAGGACTAAGTGTATTTAGAGCAGCTCCGCTCTGTGCCCAAGCATTGATGTACCAAGTCCCTGATGAAAGACTTGAGGGGAAAGCAGAGGAAGGTGCTAGGAGCAGATTGCCTTATCCTTAAACTCAGTATTCTTACACATAATAATGTGTACATCCTCAGCAGGGAGGGATGAATCGAATCCAAGCATAAACCTGTTGCTCTCACACAGAAGTCAGCAGAGCACTGTATTTGGAAGCTGAGCAGCTGTCTCCTGTTCTGAATGAGCTGTTCTTTGCTACCACATCTCCAAAAGAAGGATCCTTAATTAACTGGAGAACCTGCCTTGAGCAGAGGTGCTGAGCTCCAGCCCCACCAAACACCCAGCAGTCATTTGGATGCAGGATAAACCTCCTCCACACAGAAGGTGTAGCTGCAAGACATGCAGGCTGGCAGCGTGCTGGCTGGGGTGTTACTCCAGATAGTAGCTCCCAGTACTCCAGAGCTCCACAAGTGCTCACTTGTATGACTGCTGCACTGGGTTAGCAGGAGGCTTGCTTTGACCAGGACACTGGCTGATGCTCTTTCTCCTTCATGCCTGAGCCAGCCTTCAGGACACAGGCACCCATCTGGTGGTCACTGTGTGACAAGTCGCTGCTCAAGGGTGGATTTCCTCCTTGGGGAATGCTGGTAACCCGAACAGCCCCTGGCTTGCTTTCCCCAGAGCAGTGTTGCCATGGCTTCTGTCTGTGTGAGCAGTCTGTTGGCTTTCATGTGCTGCACAGATGGGACGGAGCTGCACTCCAATGGTCCTGCTTAGGAGAGGCTTCTGGGGGTTTGACCCTGATAGGAGATGGAATTTGCTGCTTGCTGAATACTTCATATTAATCTTGATCAGCAAACAAGGAAGCAAAGTGGTGCTTTGTTGGTGATGGCAAAGGTAAAGGTGCTGTGGTACACTTTCACAGGCAGCCCTGACCTTCATTCAGCAGTGAATACAACAGGCTCAGGTTGCTTTTCCACCTCTAAGCCTGGCTTATGTCTTAGGTAAACATAAAATGCATACGAGCTGTAGTAAGTGAATCTCCTCCCCTAGCCTGATAAGTGTTGGACATCAGTCCTAAAAGGAACACACCAGCAGCTTCCATGGAGGGAAGCTCAGGGCAGGAACGTGAAGGGAAATGCTGAAGGTGCAAGTGAAGCCTGTGACGTTTGAGTTGTGCTCTTGACCTTCAAGTTAAGATTCAGTGTGTTTCCTTTGTCTGAAGCCTGTCCAGAAAGTAAGTGTGGTGTGTCTAGGAATGGGCTGCTGCTGGGCTGGGTCTGGCTGTACATTGGCTCTGGTGATGCTGAGCGCCATGTGTTGTGGTCTTGAAGTTTACCTGTACATGAAAGTGTTTCTTTCTGGCCCTAAAATCATGGACACCTTGAGAAGGGCATTGCTCCATGGGGCTGTTGAACCACTGTTGTGTGTGAGCTCAGGTCTCCCCTTAACTCCTATTTATGTGTAGCTCAAAGAGGAAAAACAATGTCTCCTGCTTCTCCACCTTTCAGTGGGATTTTTGGCTTTGAACCTCTCCTCTTGGTTGAGAGTGGCTGAACATGAGCAGCTTGTGCCCAGGCAGCCAAGAAGCCACCAGCATCCTGGCCTGTATCAGCACCAGTGCGGCAGCAGGACCAGGGCAGTGGCTGTGCCCCTGCACTGGGCACTGGTGAGGCTGCACCCCGAATCCTGTGCTCAGTTCTGGGCCCCTCACTACAAGAGAGACCTTGAGGTGCTGGAGCGGGGCCAGAGAAGGGCAATGGAGCTGGTGCAGGACCTGGAGCACAAGTGTGATGGGGAACTGGTGAGGGACCTGGGGGGTTCAGTCTGGAGAAGAGAGGCTCAGGGGGGACCTGATGGCTCCCAACAACTGCCTGAGAGGAGGATGGAGCCAGGAGGGGCTGGGCTCTGCTCCCAAGGAACAAGGGATGGGACAAGAGGAAACAGCCTCAAGCTGCACCAGGGCAGGTTTAGATGGAGCTGAGGAACAATTCCTTCCCCAAAGGGTGCTCAGGCATTGGAACAGGCTGCCCAGGGCAGGGCTGCAGTCACTGTCCCCAGAGGTATTTAAAAGGTGTGTAAATGTGGTGCTCAGTGCCATGGGTTAGTGGTGGCCTTGGCAGTGCTGGGTTAATGGTTGGACTGGATGATCTTAAAGGTCTTTTCCAACCTAAACAAGTCTATGATTCTATGGGAATGCACCCCAGGGAATCTCTTTGGCTTGTCTCACCCCTTGAGAAGAGACCATCAGGATCCAATGTGGTGTCAAGTTCTAAGGCTGGCTTAGCTCAGTGGTTTCACTTCAGCGCTTTGTAAGGCAGTGAAATAGTTCTTATTGTGGGGTTTGAAATAGCAGTGCTGCCTTCTGAATTACCATCTAATTAATGAAAGCAAAGACTCAAAGGCAAGTGAGCTTTCTGCAGCTCTTGTTGCATAAGAAAAGCTGTTTTAGTTGACCTAAAAACCGACATTGAAAACCAACCTCAGCAGAGATGCTTTCCTCCCAGCTCTGCGGGCAGTTGGGAGCAGTTGCTCCTGTTCTTGGGGAGCCATTCATGTGGTGGCAGCTGCAAGCCCTCTTCAAAACAGCTCCTCCTTTGAGACTTGCTTCCCTCTCGCTTGCTGGTTGGAGGAACCCTGCTGTGGAGACAAATAGTTAGAAATAAAAGATGGCAGTTTAATGATGATCAGCTTCTTTCTGATGCAGGCTGTGGTGAGCGCAGGGGTAGGAGCTGCCTAGTGCACATCTCAGAGCTGTTGCTGTGTGCATCGTGTTGATGTGCAGCCTCTGTGGACCTGCAGAACACACTGAACTATGAGTTACATTCTTTCACTCAGTAACAAACCTTTTTGAGTGGGGATGACTCTCGGCAATTAACTGACAATGGCAATAGTGCAGCTGAAGCATTCCTGCCCTCTCCTCCCTGTCTCTTCATCCATACCTAGAGCTTTCCTCTACAACTTCTGATTTCCCTCCCCTTCCCTACTACTTGGATTCTGCCCCTAAATCTGAACTGCTCTGGGTTTTCTTTATGAAATGAGCATGGAAAGCTATGACCTTAAAGAAAGCCTCAGAAATGCTTTATTTTGTAAAGCTCCGGGAAAAGTGGCAGCAATGTGCTGCTCTCCTCAGGGATTTTGTCCTATTGATATTAATCTTTTTGAAGCTGGTATCCATGACTGCCAGTTCCAGAGGTTAATACACTGCCTTTCAACCAAGCTGGGAAGTCGTCTTTTTCAGTATGGGATATGGAAATGTGCAGCAATTAATCACTGTGCACCTGCAGAAGTGCCTGTGGCAGGCTGGGGCTGTGCTAGCTGCTGGGATCATCGGTAGAAAGGACTCGTGGTGACAAGTCTGATCCAGGCAGTGGCTAAAGACAAACCCTGCAAAGGCCAAGGAGGTAGCAGATGGGGGAAGCAGCATGGAACAAGGTAGTGCAGAGCTTCAGCTCTCATTTGTGGAAGGAATAAGCCTGTGCTCTGTTTAGAAGTTGTATTTGTTCTCCATAACTAAAGTCTTTATTAGATGAATGTTAGGTCTCGCCAGGTCTAGCCTGCACTCATGACCTGCTCTCAGTTTAGTGCTGGGTTCACAGCCTGGGTGAATTTGCTGCCCAGCCTTTGTATTACAAGTGGTGAGTTAGGACAGACCTGAGGGCTCTCTGCCGTGTACCCAGCTCTCATGTCGTGGTAGGTACACATCAGTCCTAAATAAACCTGGAACTTCTTGAAACTTCCCTTCCCTGAACCAGAGGATTTTATTAGGACAGGGGTGATGGGTTTAAACTAAGTTCAGGATTGATACAAGGAAGAAGCTCTTCCCTGTGAGGGTGCTGAGGCACTGGCACAGGGTGCCCAGAGAAGCTGTGGCTGCCCCATCCCTGGCAGTGTTCAAGGCCAGGTTGGACACAGGGGCTTGGAGCAAGCTGCTCCAGTGGAAGGTGTCCCTGCCCGTGGCAGGGGTTGGAGCTGGAGGAGCTTTAATGTCCCTTCCAACGCAAACCAGGCTGGGATTCTGCGATTTTATGATTTTGAAACTGAGGGATGCTCTTCACCCAAATAAAGAGTGTGACAGTGGAGAGACAGAGCTGTGCTCAGGCAGCCCCTGAGAAAGCTTCACCCAGTTGGTGTCTTTCTGTGGAGAAGCTGCAGTTCAAACCCCACCTCCCCGGTGTTATTTAAGTCGACATGAGCCTCTGCTCGCTGCACTTTCACTTCTCATCCATTCAAGGGGTAAACGAGCCCCTGACACCCTCTGTTTGTGGCGTGGCTCTGCTGCCTCCCTGCCTCAGGACCGGTCCCTAGGTGGCACTAACTGTTGGGTTTGGGTTTGTTTCAACAAAGCCTGCAGAGCAGAGCTTGGCCCCTGATGGAGTGACAGATGCAGCCCAAGCCAAGCTTGCTGCTCAGGGTTGGTTTAGGAGGCTGGCACAAGGGCTGAACTTCCTCCTGCTGCCCGAACAGAGAGGTTTCCAGCAGTGTCTCCTGGAATTTAAGGGATGGGGAGTCGAGCCTGCTCCTCTAGTTTGAGTTGTATCCTAAGACTTCCTCTCAATCCCTAGGGAATGAGCAACCAGCAAATGCTTGAAATGAGAGAGAGTTCAGAGGTCAGTGTGCTGGTAGTGGCTCTTGCCATGGATCAGTCCTTTTTGTGAGCTGTTTCTGGAGCTCAGGCTCATGGCTTTTCCTGAGCCTCTGCTACTTTTCTTCATAGCATCTCCTGTAATCTATTCTCGAGGCCTTTTAAAGCACTTTTGAGGTCCTTGAAGTGCAGCCACTCATGTGTTTAATATCTCCTACCCATACGTAAGGGGAAAAATATTTCTCTTTCAATGTAGAAACATTCAGTGGGAAAACTCGATCCTGCAATCTGAAGTTGACCTCCTCTAATCTTTAAATGGTGCATCTTGGCAGCAGTGTGCTTCACACGCTGTCTCTAAGCCCTGGAACAAAGCTGACTTTCCAGGGAGCTGTTCTTCCCTGCACTGGCACGCAGCCTGGAGGGAGCTGATGCTCTTCCTCTTCTAGTTGATTCCTCCTCTTGGAGCTTGTATCTGCTGTGAGAGAGACTGAAGTGAACATCAGCCTCCCAGAAACTGATGAAACCCACAGTGGGAGCTTTTTCCATCAATGAACCAGATTCTGGGTGGGATGGGAATTCCCTGGTGTACAGGCTTAGCTGTCTGGCTGTCCCCTCTGCCTTCCCCATCTCCCCAGATGCCTTCTGCATAAGCCAGCCCAGGACAAAAAGATGTAGTGGCTCCAAAACTAGATTCTGTTGCCCATGGGAAAGAATATGAGGTTTTAGTGTGGGAACACTGGCCTTCAAAAGGCCATGTTAAAACAACCAGCAAAGGAAAACACTCCAGTAGGAAACCACAATGGAAAGGAGAGGAGAAGCTGCTTTGATTTAGGAAAACTTGAAACTAACTACTCTGTTCTGGGGAGCCCCCCCTGCAGTCCTGATCCAGCTCTGGGGCAGCAGCACAAGAGGGACATGGAGCTGTTGGAGTGAGGCCAGAGGAGTCCATGGAGATGCTGCCAGGGCTGGAGCAGCTCTGCTCTGGAGCCAGGCTGAGAGAGCTGGGCTGGGGCAGCCTGGACTCCTGATGAGAGCTGTGCCAGGGGCTGCAAGAAAGCAGAGGGGCTTTGCTCTGGGGCCAGGCCATGGCTTTAACCTGCCCGAGGGGAGACTGAGATGAGCTCTTAGGCAGAAGCTCTTCCCTGTGAGGGTGCTGAGGCGCTGGCACAGGGTGCCCAGAGAAGCTGTGGCTGCCCCATCCCTGGCAGTGTTCAAGGCCAGGTTGGACACAGGGCCTTGGAGCAAGCTGCTCCAGTGGAAGGTGTCCCTGCCTGTGGCAAGGGGTTGGAACTGGATGAGCTTTAAGGTCCCTTCCAACCCAAACCATTCCATGATTCTGTGATGCCAAGTGGGATTACAGTAACAAAATCACTTAGTCTCTTTAATTATGGAGAGTGTTGCTTGGCCCTTTAATGAGTCACTCAACAATGAATTGATTGTTGGTTTTGGAGAGGGCTGTGATGGGCTGGACTAGATTTAATCTTTGTTAAATACTTGATATGGAGCCAGGTGTGTGTAGATGTCCCAGGTTGCCTTCACCATGTGCCCACATGTTGTAGCAAAGCAGTGCAGCATGTTCTAGCTCTTCATGAAAACGTCTGGAGTTTGCAGTTCCTCCTGTCAGAGGCTTTTCCTGGCCGTGGATCCCGCTGTGCCTGCTGCTTTGTGTGCTCAGTGGAGGGGTGAGCATGGGGAAAACCCAGTGTGAGCTGAAGCACTCCTTCCTCCCAGGTGAATCATTTACCTGCAGTATCTTTGTTCCCCATCACTGGGTTACAGTAAAAGGAAACTCGTGAAGGTGAAGGGAGATTTCCTTTAGACCTCATCCCAGCCTTTTGCTGTCAGCCAGAGCACTGCTGATGGTGAGAGGAGATCTTGGAAGAGGAGCCAAGGGCAGAGGGCCAGTAGCTGGTGAAACAGAGCCACCTGCTCTCCTCCCACCTTGTTTGCTCTTCTGAAATGGCTGCTGCTGCTCTGCAGACCTTTGCTTGCTGAAAACTCTGTGAACGTGGCACTTAAACTGAATGTGGTCTGTGCACACGTGTGTGATGGAGACACAGCCGGCTTAGTGAGAGCAGTGGTGGGTAAAGGATTCCCTTGGGCAGCTGCATTTCTTTGTTTTCCTACATCTTGGCGTAACCCTGAGTATTTCTCCTCACCTTAAATCCTGCTTGCTTTGGGGGAGGGAGAGACGGAGCCAGTGCAACACATAATTCCTTTGTTTGGATTGGGAATTCCTCACGGAGAGGAGACTCTGTGGCATTTATTGTAGCACCAGGAAGGCTCCAGGCACAGCGTTCTCCAGCACCGGTGTAAACTGGGAGTCCTGTTTTACCACAGGTCCTGCCAGTAGCGCATCCCTCAGGGGCCTGCGGAGCGCTGGATCACCTTACAGAGGATTTCTTTAATGAAGAACGTACTTGAGCTGGATTTAATCTACTGTCTCGATGCTCTTAAGATGCTACAGCGTGTACTTGTGAGCTGCTTGCATGTTAAACAGGCACAGGGTAGGGCTTGGCATCGTGTTCTGTTGTGACCCAGCTGATATGCACTGACTGAGCCCATCGGGATCCAAGTAGGCTGTCAGCTTGCAGGGAACAGCTTCTGCCTTGGAGACCACAAACACATGCCTAAAATGAATATAATTCCTCTCCTTATTCCTATATCCAGCAGCCGAATACCAAGAAATCCTGACTTATTGAAATAATTCTCTCTAATTGACTCCTATAAAGTGACTTAAATCCAGCTAGGGCTGGGAGAGTTCTTTACATATTTGCAATCCAGGCTTGGCATGGGGTAACTGTTCTTATAGTGAGGAATTTAAGACATTTCCATTACTTCCTATGGGATTTCAGAGGTCAGTTTGGGGCTGGGGAGGAAGGAAAAGGTTAGAAGTGAAGCTGCTGGTTTGCAGCAGCAGCATGGTGATAGTGGTGGTGTTTCCATATGCACAAGAGTGATTTTTTGGGGTGGTTTTTCTTCCTGTTCTCTGCTCCTTTCAAAGGCATTGCTTTGGGCTTGGTTCAAATCCCCTGCCCCAGGAGAACATTTTAAAGGCATTCTTTTTGTGGCATGTGCTGCTTTTTGTATCCGATGACTCCACTGCACTGAAGTTCTTGTGCCATTCGAGCTCTTGGCCATTTGCTTGGGACCTGAAGAGGTAACGGCGTATTCTGCCCTCGTGCACAGCGTGTGTGGCAGCTTGCACCAGTGCTCCCCCGTGGAGAAATGCCTCACCTGGGACATGACAGCTCCAAAGACGGGAGCTGCTGCTCTGTGCACTCAGATGGTGGCAGATGGAGTTGGGGATCATCTGGGGAGCTGAGCATGGGGGATGACGTGCTGCGTGGTGTTAAGTCACCACTTGGATGTGAAGTTTGTGTTGCCCTGGTCTCTCATCCATGTAATCTGCCCTCTGCCTGTTGTGGTGAAGCAGCGTGGCTTTGTTTGCTTGCTTAACTGCAAGAAGCTGTTGCCAATCCCTCACACCCCAAAATCGTGTTTTTCTCCTTAAAGCCCTCTGGACTCATGGTTTCTCTTCTGGCACAGTGCGTTTGCAGGGTGAGCAGTAGCAAAGGCAGTAGTTGGGGTGGTGGGTCAGCACCAAGCATCTCAGCCTCCTCCATTCACAGCCAGGGCTATCATAAGGTGTTCATTTAATGCTGTGGGGAGTGAAGTCAGAGCCTCAGGGGAACTGTCTGTCCCTGGTGTTAGCAACGACTTGGGGCCACCAGACCTTTCCCAGCCTGTGTCTTTGAATCAGACGAGACCAGGGAAACCACCAGATAGTCCAGATTTAAGGCAAGAATCTCACTATTCCATACCATTAAGGAGCTTTTTGGAAGAGATCTCAGCAGCGAGACAAGGGGGGAGCTGCTCCATCCTGCGTGTTTTGGCAGAGCTGTGCCATAGAAAGAGAGAGGAGAAGAAATAGCAGCGAGAAGCACATTAATTTGTCTAGAAAATGGGGTTTGGCTCCCGTTCAGCACGTGTGTTCTCGGTGTGTGAGCGGTTCCCCCTTGGTATGTACTTAGGGAAGGCTTCAGCATGAGGTGAAGGTGCCGCAGCCAGGGTGTGCATCAGCCCTGATGAAGAGGTGGGGATGCTGGAGGCAGTTGCTCGTGATGCAGGCAGAATAATGTGCCCAAGAGCTTCATTCTCTTTGGGACACAAACAGAGGTGCCGCAGTTCCTTGTCTCTGCTGGGATTCGGTGCTCAGAGCGGGTCGGGCTGGCAGCAGCCTCACTGGAGCCACAGGGAAGCTCCAGTGGGAATGTGGGGAGCGTTTTGCTCTGCTGCACATGGCAGCAGGAGCTGGACAGCTCTGGTGGGTGAAAAGAACTCGTAATTTGGCTGTAGGTGAGGAAAACGCGCTCGGTGCTGGCTCTTGTACGGCTCTCCTGTGCGGTGCTCCTGTTGCTGTCCATTCACCTGCGAGGCTGAGGGGTTTCATTGCTGACCGGGTGCTCTCCATGGGCTGAGGAAGCTCTCGGTTCCTATGGCGTTGTGTTTAAATAAATAAGCACCATCACCGCCCCCGTTCCTCCCTCAGGAGCTGGGCACAACTTTCTCCGGGAGACAGCGAGCTGTATTTAATATCTAGGTCATGGCGGGAGGCGAGAGCCGCCGCTGCTCCGCGGTACCGGCAGCCTGGGCCCCTCCTGCGCCTCTCGTACCGGTTCCGCCCGGCCACGGATGATCGCGGCCCTTTTCCTTCCCCCTTCTCCCCGCATCGGTTTATGGCCGGGCCGTGCTACCGGGCACCCCGCCGCTTCCTCCTTCCCCCCGCCCGCGGTGTCGCAGTGCCCGGGCTCGGCGGCCGCGGGCGGCCCCTGAGGAAAGGGAACGGGCGGGGGGGGGGGGGGGGTGGCGGGAAGCGCTGAGGGGGCGCGCGCTCCCGCTCCCCCCTCCTCCTTCCCTCCCCACCGACCGCGGTTTCCCTTCCACCAATAGCGAGGCGGCGCTGGCGCCCCGCCCCTTGTTTTCGGCCAATGGGAACTTACTACAGTGTTGTGGGAGGCGGGGCTGGCCGGGAGAGGGGCAGAGCGGCGGCGGCGGGCGGCGGCAGCGGCGGAGGCTCTACACGGGCGGAGCGGAGCGGGCTGGGCCTGGGCCGGAGCCGGAGCGGCGCGGAGCGGGCCGGAGCGGGGCGGCAGGACCCCGGGGTGCCGCACCGGGGGGGGGCTCTGCGCGGCCCGGTAAGTGCGTGCGCGTGTGTGTGCGCACACGGCGTTATCTGCGCGCGGATGGCTTTAGCGCGGGGTGTCCGTGCGTGCGGGGTGTGTGTGTGTGTGTGTGCGCGGAAACGGCGTTATCGGTGCGCGCCCGCGGTCTGTGCTACCGTGTAAGTGCTTGTGTGAGCGGTGTGTGTACGCGGGGTGTCTGCGCGGGCACGGGAGCGTGTTCATGTGTGCACGGTGTATGTGTGCGCCCT